AATAATCATTTACAATTCAACCAAGAGATAGTGTTATTAACAACTAACAAATGAAAATCTTGCGAAGTTATAATGAACTTGCACTACATTCAAGAGATGTGTAAAATTAAGTGATTTGAATAATTGATTAATAATAATAACAATAATATGTTGGAATTGTGATCGTCCACTTACATTTTTAATTTCTTTCAGTATCTTTTAAAACCATTAATTTTTGTGATACATTTGTTTCCTTTCCTCTTGCTTTCTTTCAGCGGTACAATTCATCGAAACCACCACCTATTGAATTTATCCAAGATCCATTCTTTATCGATATGCTTATCGATATTTTATTTGCATATGACGAAAATAAGGTCTGCCTTTTAATTATTGATTTTATCGCTATAGCAATAAAAATCATATTCACCAGGAAAATAAGATAGTAGAAAAGCGTAACTTTCACATGAAGAATTACTTGAAATATTTTTTTAATTCATATAACTTTGTCTTCTGTTCCAATTTTATTAACCTGATCTTAGCTAACTTCATAATTTGATCTGATTTTACAGTTAACATGATTACTGTTATCCGAAATTACTTTTTTGTTCAATGATAACTATTTCCCGTGATGCTAATAGCTTATCTCTTAAGGAGGAGATCTTAAATAAAATATGCTAATAATATTTGCTCTCAAAATTATCCGGCAATGTTCCAGGTTCAAGCGAATCATCGTTCGAAATACATCTTTCTATTGTCTTGTGCTTCTTGTCGTACTTCAGATAATGCAAACAACGAAAGAGAAAATGTAAGATTCCCCACTTTATAATTAATTCATTTCTATTCCGATTTTACTGGTTATTTTTCTCCAAAAAGCTTTTAATGTATCGTTTTGCTAGGATATTTAGCACAAGCAACAACATATTTGCGTCATACATTTTTCCTCATGGATTGGTAACATTATAATATAGCATATTGAAACTCTAATCATGATTGATGTTTCCATCAAATTAAGGAAGAAATAAAGAAAACAACAGAAATTATGGAACAAATTTTGGATAGTATAAGATCGGAATGCGAATTTTTAAAAGATATTCCATTGTTACTCAGTGGTATGTTTTTTTTCCAATTATTTTATTAGAAATGAAAAATGCTCTCATAGACATTTACAAGCACAACTGCAATGCTTCTATCAAACTAATTCGATGGAATCAGCTCATCTATTTAACCTATCAGGTTTTGTACCTGATAGATTAAATAGCAAAAGAATGATTTTTTTTTTTGTAATTGAGAGAATGAAACCTATCGAAAAAGATTGATAATTTTCAAAACTGTCTACTTGTTTGACGGGGTAGAAACAAATGATTGAATTCAGTGCTGAGATTCAAACTTGAATTTGTAAATTATTATCCATCCGAATGATCAGAATTTCGAATTAAAGAAAATATTAAAAGCAGTGATAATTCTCTTTTTTTCTTCAGGTATTGAATTTCCTTCAATTGCTGCTGGACTGTTGCATTATTTCGAAGGATTATTTTTAGACGATAAAATACTCTGCGAGTTGGAAGTGGTTCATTTCGTTTTGTTGGACGAGATTGCTACCAAACATTGCAATCTACATATCAGGTCTCCACCAAACATTGTTATATGGTAGTCATCCATGAAAAGTAAAACTTGAGAAGGGAAAAATGTAAACAAAATTCCGAAATCGTATTTGGTTGAATTATTTAACAAAGAGCAGTAAAGTATGAGAGCAGCCGTTGAACGAAATAAGTTTGACAGAATTTTGTTACTGTTAAACTCAAAATTATGGATTTTCTAGCAGCGAGCATATTGTTATAAT